CTCTTTAATTTTGTGGGAAAAAACAAAGAGAAAGGTTCCGCCTCCGTTTCCCAGTCCGCCAGCCGCTCTCTCTCTGTGTGTGTGTGTTTTCACGCAGCTGCACACAGACGTGTTTCTAATTTTGTTTGAGGAAACTTTACTGTAGCTTCACTGGAGCTCCAGGTATCTGTGAGTCTCTGAAACCGGACCCGACCGACAGCAGCACCAGTGCCGCTGCCTCTCTGGGAGTGTAGGCATCTGGACGTGTTGTGCAACAGCGTCTGGAGGTTTTAGATTTAGTGTGAAGCAGAGCCAAAGGTTTACAAATGAGAATAATTACGAGGCCATAAATCACTGACTATTGAGTCACATTAGTTAGTCCTGGTGGGACGGAGGGTCCGACCCACCCCAGAGGACCAACTCCTACTACTGGGATACATAACCATTAAAAATACCGCTTTTTTTTATGGAGTTTTTTTCATTGATGCTAAATGTTTTCGAAACTTTTCCATGATTATGCTATGCTATGAGCTCAGAAAAATCCCCACACTTTCTACATTTCTCCTGAATTTACAAAGAGATAAAAAATGCCGTTAGTTCAAAAGTTGTTTGGCAAGATAACACATTAAAAGTCATTAGCAAAAAAATAAAAATAAAAAAGTAAAAAGAGCCCACAAAACTCAATCAATAAAAAGATTAAATAATAAAAATAATAAGACACCAGTTAAATAACTTTTTAATCGATCTCTATCTATATACACATGTTTTCATTTTAAAAAACTATTAAACATAGCTTTGAATAATCAAAATGAGAATAATAATAAACAAGATCAGTCAGAGTCAAAGTAGCTTAAATAAAAAAGCCGATGTAGCAAGCTCACAAAAAGTTAGCCTAAATACTAAAAGAAAGACAAATCATTAGCTAAATGTAACCAAAAAAGAGTGAGTTAGTCAATAAGATGGTTTAAATTTCATGATTGCCAAAAAAATTGATAACAAAATATTAGCATTAGCATGCAGTAGCCTGGTACAGTAGTAACAAAAATGGGAAAAATGTTGAACCCCCAAAAAATTATAACATTTTATAATTTAACTTTGGGAGTTTCTTTTTTAAAAAAGTTAAGAAAACATTTTTTTAAAAATGTGATAAAAATATTGGGAGTTTTATGGAGGCCATTCAAGATCTTTATCTTGTTTTTAAACGTTTTTTTTTTCAGCCAAAAAACCATTACAGCCAATTTCTTGTCTTTTCTTTTGTTCAATAACTAATAAAAACTCCACATAATAAAATCTTTTTTCTGAACATACACAGCTGGGAAACCACCAGGATTTCCTCATTTCTATATATATATATATAAAAATGGGTTAGTGAGATTTTCCACCACACTGAATTCGACTTCTTCCTCTCCAGGGATCATGGCAGCTGCCACCAGGGACCTTCATCCTCTTCCTCTTCCTCTGCTCATCTTCTGCCTGTTTTTCATCAGCGGCTGCTCTTCTCTGCCAACCGCAGCAGGAGCAGCTGGGAAGGAAATCCGTGGTCTTCGAAGACCTCGCTCTGAAACCCGGGTGTTTACCACAGAGGACTACGACAACCTGGAATACAGGGTCACACCTTCACCTCCTGGCAAAAACGTGTCTCCAAATAGAGGAGGTCAGAAATGTGCCTACGACTCCTGTCTGGAGGGTCAGATCTCCTGTGCCAAGTTAGCGGCCTCCACCGGCTGCTTGTGTCCAGGCTTCACGCTGCATGACGTGGCCCCCGAGGCCCCCAGGTTAGTCTCCGTGTCCTGGAATGGGTCAGACGTGGTGGTCCAGTGGTGTGCTCCGTATTCTTACGTCACAGCGTACACGGTGACCGTCGGCGGAGAGGAGAGGAAGCAGTTCGGGAAGGAGCTCAGGAGCGGGGCCGTGGGCGACATCGAGAACATCTCCGAGGTCTGTGTGCTGGCGGTGAACGACAGCGGGGCCAGCGCAGCCTCCTGCTCCATGTACCGTCCCGTAGACCGGGGTCTGCCCGTGAGAGCGGGCATCATCGCAGGAGGCGTGGGCTTCCTGCTGCTCCTGCTGCTGCTGGTCTTCATCTACAGACGCCGGAGGGCCACGGGTCACAGACGGTGAGGAGAACACCTGACGCCTCACCCCGTATGACTCTCCCCCAGGGTGACTTCACTGCACTGACCCGGGCGTCCTGGGAGCCAGTTTCATCATCTCATTTAAAAGCACTTGACTGTCATTTTCAGTGGGAAAGAAAAATGAGAGTATTTTGGAAAAAAAAAACTTGAAAATCAGCTGTGAAAATCCAAAAAAAAAAGGATGACGGAAATCTTTAATGGAAAGGAATTTTTCCCAAAATATATATTGTTATTATGTTATTTTTTTAGTTTATTTTATGCTATATTTTATATATTTAAACTCGACATTTTCATAAAAACACACATTTTTGAGGGGGAAAATGTGACGCAACTCTGAGGAAAACCTGGTTTACATTAACACAGATTATTTTTTATGGGCCCAAAAAATGGTTTTGTTTTGAAGCTGCGTGTCAGTGTTTCAACCAATAACAATGTGACGTTTCTTCACTTTGACTGAGGGGGAAAAAAACAAAAAATCACTAGAAATAGTTTTAAAACAGACGATTTTTTAACTGGATAATCGAGCTAACGGTGGTGATTCACACTTGGAGCGACGTTGTTTTTAACAGTGTATGTAATAGATTACACCGCTTCTTTAAATCTCTCTATGAGAGACATTATTAGAGTGTGTGTTTATTTACAGTATAAAAGGCTCGACTGTGGTTTCAGGACCGAAGGTAAATTATGTGACGTGTTTTTATTTTATTTTGTATTTGTTTTGTATTTGTTGGAAAATCAAAACACACTTCCATGATAGGAAAGGTTTAAAGAGGAAAGAAAAAAATACTGTAGTGACCAACACTACGAACATGGTCCCAAATAAAAGCACATTCGTCCCAACTCTTTGGTCAGCGTCGCACTCACAGGGGTCACTCTCACACTGTTTGGAGGGAGCGTGCCGAAGCAGAAGAGTGAAATGTAAGACGGCAGCACATGTTCCTGCTCGTCACCGTGTTATTCCTTCATGGGCAGTGACGGTGGATGGGTGTGTGTATTTTTCCATGTGTATCATTTTCAGAAGTTGTGCCAATGCTCTGGTTCGACCGCAGGGTTCAGTTTTCCAAGCAGTGATTTAATTAAACATCATCTAGAGCAAAGGTCAGCGACCTTTTTGTGTTCCACAGACAGACGGTCTACAAAGTTTCCACCAAGAACAGGACAAAAACAAATGATACCACGAAGTGGTAAAAAAAAAATCAAAACATTAAAGTGAAAACTCACCATAACTCTGAACGCCGCACGACAGGAAGTGAGGTTTTGTCAGGTGAGAACCACCTGGTGAATGGAACTTCTCCTCAGTCTGATCTTTTTTTCTCAGTTCTATAAGGACAGAAACAATCGGGTCATTTTTTTTGTCATGGCCCGCTACTGGTCTGAGACCCAGCGGTTGGGAACCTCAGTTTTGTAAACGCTGCAGCTGTGACCTCTTTACATCCGTCTCTGAGCTCCAGGCCGTGTGAAGATCCTCTCCGTTTGTCTGGTTTCCATCGTTTCTTCTTCTCCGTTCCTCAGCCTTGATGTCATTTCCTTTATTTTCCTGCCACCGCTGACGGCGCCCGGTCTCCCTCGCCAACTCCGACCGCGCCTCCGGTCACGTAAATGTCGTCTAACACAGGTAATGTGGAGAGACGTAAACAGGCAGTTTGTCTCCTCTGCAGAGACGGCCCAGAGATGTGACACTTTTATGGGACACAATGTGCCATCAACCTGAACCACCAGGGGCAAAAAGAGAAAAAAAAAATATTTATTTTTCTCTCTCTACGTGGAGACACAGTGGAAGTGGAGGCCCGGTTGTCGTCTGGTTTTAAACAGACCAAGATGTGGTGTCCTCGGAATAAAACGCAGAATCTGCTGGAGTGAAGCCGCAGAGAGTGACAGAGCAGAGACGTTGAAGAGGCGACAGAATCTGTGCACAAATATTTTTAAGGATTCTTAAATAAATAAATATAATGTGATGTAGAAATCAGACTGGTTACAGATGTAAATTAATTTACTATTAAATGTTTAAAGACTTCAAAGATCCAGGCTACTGAGAACTTCCTTTCACTATCAGAATGTTAATCCGTACGAACCGTGGCCAAAACTGGGGGACGTGGCTCCGAATATTGTACAGTTCTGCACAAGAAAAAAATATCAAAAGGTTTAAAAAATTAAACTACATTAATTTAAAAATATATATGTGTAGAATTCTAATCACAAAGTTCTAAAGCAGTGGTCTCAAACTCTGTCCTGAGGTCCACTTCT